AAAAAAAAAAAAAAAAAGAGTGAATGTGACCGGTAAAGGCACTCAGAGAGCATATGCCCACCAAATTTAAACCATTTTAGGAACCTCTATGTCAGCCAAACAAAAGATATCTGTGATCTGTATTTGGATCACAGTCAATGAACTTATAACCCCTATTGAAATCCAAGGTCTTCATGTTTCAGAAAAAGAAACTAAGTGTGAACAAGGAGATTGGACTTAGCCATGATGGAAGACGGACTGCAAAAGAACTATAAAGGCTACTAATAAGGGTACTGTTTGTTGATTTTCTCCACCCTGAGCCAGGCACATGCTAGGTATTTCACACATATGGTCTCCTCAAAGCCACATTTCAGTCTGGGAAAGCATCTCTTGAGTTTTTCTAACCTCTGTAGTGGAGATGGGCAAAGGAAGAGGGGTTGGAGACCCACTGGCTGGTATTTCACACATATGGTATCCTCAAACCACACCTGAGGTTACAAATCAAAACCATAATGAGATACCACCTCACGCCATTCAGAATAGCTAAAATTAACAACATAGGAAATAAGAGACGTTGGTAAGGATGTAGAGAAAGGGGAACCCACTTACACTGTTGGTGGCAATGCAAACTGGTGCAGCCACTTGGAAAACAGTATGGAAGTTCCTCAAAAAAGTTAAAAATCGGGCAGCCTGGGTGGCTCAGCAGTTTAGTGCCAACTTCAGCCCAGGGTGTGATCCTGGAGACCGGAGATGGAGTCCCACATCGGGCTCCCTGCATGGAGCCTGCTTCTCCCTCTGCCTGTGTCCCTGCCTCTCCCTCTGGCTCTCATGAATAAATAAAATCTTTAAAAAAAATTTTTTTTAAGTTAAAAATAAAACTACTCTACAACCCAGCAACTGCACTACTAGGTATTTAGCCAAAGGATACAAACATAGTGATTAAAGGGGCACATGTACCCCAACATTTACAGCAGCAATGTCCATAATAGCCAAAATATGGAAAAAGCCCAGATGTCCATCGATAGATAAATGCATAAAGATGGGCTTTATATATATAAAAAAATATGTATTACATTATATATGGAATATATGTATAATGGAATACATGTATAATGGAATATTATATATACATAATGGAATATTATATATAATGGAGTATTACTCAGCCATCAAAAATAATAAAATCTTGCCATTTGCAATGACATGAATGGAACTAGAGGGTATTATGCTGAGTAAAATAAGTCAGCCAGAGAAAGACAAATACCATATGATTTCACTCATATGTAGAATTTAAGAAACAAAACAGATGAACATAGGGGAAAGGAAGGAAAAATAAAATAAGATAAAAACAGAGGGAGGCAAATCATAAGAGATGTTGAACTCTAAGAAACTAAGGATTGCTGGAGGGGAGGTGGAGGATGGGGTAACAGGGTGATGGGCATTAAGGAGGGCACTTGATGTATGGAGGAGCACAGGGTGTTATATGCAATGGATGAATCACTAAATTCTACCCTTGAAACAAAAAATACAGTATATGTTAACTAAATTGAGTTTAGAAAAGAACTAAAACCCACCACACTTGAGGTAAATTGCAATCTGCAGTAGAGATTGCAGGTTGTCCACTAGACAGGCTAGGCCCTTCCTCCGCAGCGATGCAGTTATAGCTGGCCGTGTGGCCTTCTCCAAGCCAATGAATGCATTTCCCAGCAGCCCCTTGCAGGTGGGTGAGGTCTCAAGTCTTAGCTCACATTGCTGCCAATGGAAAGTAGGCACACTGGGCCCAAGACTCTTTTTTTTTTTCTTAAGACTTATTTGAAAAGAGAGAGACTGCAAGCAAGTGAGCGTGTGAGTGGGGGGAGGGCAGAGGAAGAGAAAGAATCTCAAGCAGACTCTCCGCTGAGCCAGGAGCCCAACATGGGGCACTATCCCAAAACCTATGAGACCATGACCTGAGCTGAAATCAGGACTCGGATACTTAACCAACTGAGCCACCCAGGTGCCCCCGGGCCCGTGACTTTTAAGATAGTGATGCTTATGCTTCCTCTACTCTCTCTCTGCCAGGGTACACATCAATGGGATGTGACTTAGTTTCATTCAGGAGGTGACATTAAGGTACTGAGGGATGGCAGCACCATGAGATGAGGGAAATATGGCAGAGCCACTGCCGCTCTGGTACTTCTAGACCAGGGACTGGCAAACTATAAGCTGGGGGCCAAATACAGGCCACTGCCTTTTTCTCGTAAATAAAGTTTTACTGGGGGAGCACCTGGGTGGCTCAGTGGTTAAGTGTCTGCCTTTGGCTCAGGGCCGTGATCCTGGGGTCTGGGATCGAGTCCCACATCTGCTTCTCCCTCTGCCTGTGTCTCTGCCTCTCTCTGTCTCTCATGAATAAATAAAAATCTTTTACAAAAAGAGTAATATTTATTGGAACACAGTTACACCCATTAATTCTATGTTAATTCTATTGCCCATGGCTGCTTTTGTGCTGAGATAGCCTATCTAAGCATAGCTGATGCTCCTTATTCATGATAGTTATGTTCTATAAAGTTGCTGCCAAAAATGAATTATCAAATACTGAACCAGGTTAGATTCCTATGAGCCTCTGGTCACAACAGTTTTATCAAGTGATCAATACAAAACCTTGTTTCTTGTGTGTTTCTGTTTAGAGACCTTATTTAATATATATTATTGATTCATTAACATTGAACTCCTAGCCAACAGCGCTATAACTCATTTCTGAACAAAGCCTATCTAACATATTTTCTCTGTAAGGTAAATACAGCCTTCTTGCAGTTTAGGAAAACTAGACAGCACTTCAGCACTACACTTGAGGGCTGTTTTTAGCAACAAAATCACCAACAAAAAGCACAGAGACACACAAAAAAATGTGGCACTAAATGGACACCTGTTTACGGTATAAGCTGAAATAAGACAGCAGAGCACTGCTTTGTTCGACCTTGGCTGCACCTCAGGTGACTCTAATTTTTTACTGGTTTGTTTGAGGCTTACTGCAAAAGCATTGCAAGTACTGATCTGGAGGTTACAAAAACAAAAACATTTTAGCAAGAAGGCAAATTCACAAACAGAATCCATGAATAATTAGGATCAACTGTAGTTGCAACAGAGATCACAAAGCCTAGAAATGTACTATCTGGTCATTTATGGACAACTTCTGTCAATTCCTGGTCTGCCCTATTAGAATAAAATAAACTTTCTGAAGCCACTGAATTTTAGGATTTCACTGTTACAGCAGCTTATTGTGTCCTAATCAGGTTATAAAGTCTATGCTTTTCCCATCACCCAGTGCCACCTCATTTTACCACTCATATTCTCTTTTATTTTACTTTTTAGATTTTATTTATTCATGAGAGAGAGAGAGAGAGAGAGTGAGAGAGAGAGAGAGAGAGGCAGAGACACAGGCAGAGGGAGAAGCAGGCTCCATGCAGGGAGCCTGATGTGGGACTCGAGCCCAGGTCTCCAGGATCAGGCCCTGGGCTGAAGGCGGCGCTAAACCACTGAGCCACCCGGGCTGCCCTCATACTCTCTTTTAGAGGGAGGGTCATATTTCCATCATCCTCTTTTCTGTACCAAGTAAGCCAATATTTCTCAAGGGGTGATACTAAAACCTGTGTCAGAATGGGTGTGTGGGGATCCCTGGGTGGCGCAGCGGTTTGGCGCCTGCCTTTGGCCCAGGGCGCGATCCTGGAGACCCGGGATCGAATCCCACGTCGGGCTCCCGGTGCATGGAGCCTGCTTCTCCCTCTGCCTGTGTCTCTGCCTCTCTCTCTCTCTCTGTGACTATCATAAATAAAAAAAATTAAAAAAAATAACAAAAAAAAGGGAGGACGGGGGGGGGGTGGGGGGGTGGGGGGGGGTGGGCGCAGCAGGTTGAGCATCTGCCTTCGGCTCAGGTCATGATCCCGGGGTCCTAGGATTGAGTTCTAGAGTCGGGCTCCCACAGGGAGCCTGCTTCTCCCTCGGCCTGTGTCTCTGCCTCTCTCTATGTGTTTCATGAATAAATAAAACCTTTAAAAAAAAAAACTTTTTTAAAAAATGCTTATTTCTTGTTGAAAAGGTACGCTCAAATGTCACTGAATTACTCGGGGTGGGAGACAATTCAACTTTCCATTTGCAACAAGCTCTACAAATTATTCTTCATTCATTCTGAAGTTTGAGAATTACGGAACCGGCAGTAAGCTCCTGAAGACCACTCCCCGGGATCTGTCCGGTAAGCCCCGGGCAGCCCAGCCCTCGAGGGACTGTACCGCAGAGGAGAGGCGCCCGAGCGCAAATCGCCCGCGCTGCCTCTCAGCGCCCCCCCCCCCCCCACTGCTTCAGCCTGGGCTCGGCCTGAAACCTCAGTTTCCCCGTCGGTTTAGGCTTGTGGTGAGGGCTGAGTACGCGAAGGGAGCAGCACAATAAGCCTTAATGTTCTTTCCCTTCCATCTGCAGTATATATTATTTTTAAGCTCTTTGGGAACTTCATCATTCCAGAATTCCCCACAAATTCCGAGAGCTTCAACACCCCAGACGAGAAGTTCCCCACCTCAGGGGACGCTTACGCCATTTAGCAATATCCTCAGCAGTACGGGTTCCCTCACTTTGGGGGGCTCCCCCACAGGCGTCGAAGCTTTGGGGTGCGCCTCCCCTCCGGGCCCGCCCCCTCGCGTCCGCTGCAGTTACCCGTCTCCCCTCGGGGCTTCAATCCCGCGTCCCGCCCTCCGCCCCCGCGCGGCTCCCCGTTCCCCTCCGCGCGTGCTGCCCGTGGGGGCCCCGGCCCCCCTGTCCCCACCGCTGGTGCCCCCTCGCGATCTCCAGACGCCGTTTCCCTCACCCCGCCCCTCATCTCCGGGTACCCCGTCGGCCGCCCGCAGGCCCCTCGCGCCCCCTCCCAAGCCCGCGTCGCCCTCCCCTCCTCCCCCCGGCCCCTCCTCCGCCAACCCGCGGCCAGGCCGCCCCACTGCCCCCGCCGCGGGGGGAAGGCGGCCGGCGACGCGGCCCAACCCCACCAGTCGCCTCACCTCTAGAGCGACGCCCAGATTCTCCCGCTTCTTTTTGGTCATGTTACTTGCGGGGAGCCCCCGGTCACTTATTGGACGCACCCACCGGTGGCACCACGCATGCGCAAACGCTCGCACTCCCCTCTCCGCGGCCGCGGAGGAGGCGGGGGGCGGGCCTCGTGGAGGTCACCATCTTGTTGAGGGGCGTGGCCTTGGCGGGGCCCTGTTTACGGCGGGAACCTCCCGCTCGAGGAGTCAGGGTGGGGGCGGGGGCGGGGGCGGGGGCGGGGTGGGAGGCCCCGTGGGCCGCCGTCCAGAGGTGGGGCTGCTCCTCTCCTCCTAGTCCAAAACCCCTTTACATCCTGAGACAGTTTTTCACTCCATCTTCTGTACCCTTCATCGCTTCTTGTCACCACCTATCTTGAGGCCATCCCGCCTTCAAATTCTGTCCACGGTGGCGCCTGAAGCCCTGCTCCTGCAGGGAGCCCCACCTTGAGCCCCTGGGCCCCCTGGGCTCTAATAATGACCTGTTGGTATGCCCTTTTTTTTTTTGGCCAGGTGTTCTCACTCATTTTTATTATTTTATTGTGAGAACCATCTACAGGGGCTCCTGGCTGGCCCAGTAGGTGGAACATGTGATTCTTGATCTTGGGGTTGTGAGTGAGCCTCACCTTGGGTGTAGACATTACTTAAAAATAAAAATCTTAAAAAACAAAAACAAAATCCGCAAAGCTGCCTACAAACATCGCAGAAAACTTAAAATGGAAAGCAACACCCTTTATCCTACCACTCTTAGCATGGTTCCTGTCTTAGTTCCTATGTATTCCCTTCCAGGCCTGGTCTCAGATATAGTATCTTACACTATTGTAACCCTATTGTACAGTACACTGTAGACCTATGCCCTTCGAGATGTTTCCTGACCCTGTGATAAAAAATGCTAGGGGTATTTTGGCCCAGTTACCCAATATAACCGAAACTGGTTTCCTGATAAACACCTTTACCACCTGTGATGTACTCTGATATTTTCTCTTCTAGTCCATTTCATTTGTAAAAAGAGTTGGTGGCAGGAGACCTATTAAGTTTATTTCATGATCCATTAATGGATGTTGAATTGCAATTTGAAAACCAGTCATAGACACTTCCTCAGATCTTTCCAATCATCATTTGTGCTAGCTGTGTATACCACCAGGTGAGTACATACCATTCTTGTATTGGACATTATTCTGCTGCACATTACTTCCAAATGCCAATGCAAACATTTTTGTGTGCATGGCTCTTTAAGATAAGTTTGCACAAGTGGGATTACCAGAATCAAATTCCTTATTTTCTGTCCAGTTACCTTTTGGAGCTTGTGTTTCTGTGTGTGAATGATAACCCTGACTCAATGTTTGGGGGAGACAGGGTGTTTTCAGATCTGTGTTCTCTTCTTGATAGAGTCATTGAGTAATGGAGCTGGAGGGAACCTTAGATATCATCTTGCCTGGCCGCCTGACTGAAGTCCACATAGGGAAAGTGTAGTAAATTCTGTCTAAACAGGAAGCAGGCTGTGGAGTGGTTGTTTTGAGCAGTTCTCAACTTAACACCCAGCACAGGAAAAACTTGTCCAAGAACATTGTCCATCAACTGTCACTCAACAGCATTTATTGTCAGAACACTCTTCACAGCATTGGTTCCAATCCCAGAAAAACCAGACTTTGTACTTCCCAATTATCACAGCCCCAGGCCCAGGGGAGGTGAGAAGAGAGGGAAAAACACTGTGTTCTTTTAAAAGTGGCTCCTTATGCATTTGTTTGGCACCAAGAAAAAGCCACGGAGATCAAAGTGGGCTTCGATCCCTTGTCTCTCTCCCCTACTCCCTTGTGAAATGATGGGCAAGCTGTCATCTTTCTCTGGAATAGCCTCAAATTTTCCACATCAGACCTTGTCCCATGGTTCTAGTAAAGGGACAAATACTTGAAATGGGGCTGGAATAAGAGCATATGTGGGTTGTAGCATCAGGGGGGTGAGGGAGGCTGACTTGGACTCTAGTCCCCAGCTCTGCCACTTAGTGCTGTGATTTGGGACAAAACACTTAAATTTCCTGACACCATGTTTTCCGTGCTTACAAAATGAAATGAGCTCAAGAGGCTGGGCTTGTAGGGTCGTTGTGAGAATTACTAAGCGGTCAGTGCTGTGCTTTGTGAATGACCAGCCTAGACTCAGCAGGATTGATGCGTCTGCCACCAGCTTTCCACTGTAGGGGTTTGCTTAGCAACTGTTGCCATTTGTATTTTTTTGTTATTGTTTTGATATCAGTGTCGATCAGCTTTGACACTGCTGTAGACTATCGTTGTTAGGAGTTTTGGGGCGAATAGTTGGGTTGTTGCCTGCTATCAAGTGGTTCCCTGCAAAAGGCAGCTCCCAACCTACACAAGTGTCCCTTTGTGACGCTCTCTCCACCTCTCTGCTCCTCCTTCCTGCTGAGCCAGCCCATCAATCATGGGTTTCATGTGCTGGGACATTACAGACAGCATGATCCGGTGGTGCTGGGGAGGCTGAAAAGCCCCAGGTGACCGCTGAGGCTGCTACATACAAAGACCAGCTTTGAGTCCCATGGGGACTGACTGGTGAGCCTACTGCAGCTTGGCTTTGGCTTTGTGCTGGAAACTCTGCCCGCATGCAGATGGATTACTAGGGACCAGTTGTCTGTCTTTGTTTTCTAGTGGGCTGTGGTTCTGAACTGTCTATCTGTGAGTTTTAGAGCTAAGTGCTTAAGTGAAATAGGGCACCGCATTGGCAGGCTGGATAATGGGTTCATTCCTGGCTAGGCCAGATGCTCACTGCATGACTTGGGCAGATAGAGCCCCCTCTTTGACTTTCAATTTCCTCATCTGTGAAATGGGCATGGGGACGGGGGCGGGTGGCAGGGGGGAAACTAGACAGCTTGGACACCCTGAGATTCTGTTTTAATGACCTCATTATATGTAAAGCATTTAGACATAAGGCGCCCTCCTTGGCTGTAAGGTAGATATGTGAAATGAGAACCAATCATTACCCTCAAGATATCTTCGATCTAGTTAGAGAGACAGACTGACAACATGAAATAGTGAATGCCAGACATCATATAATTAAATGCCATCTGTCTGGTATGTACTGTGGATGTATTAGGAGCTCAGAAAAAAAAGAGAATGCCGTGGGCTTTGTGGAGGCTATGGGTCTCAGAGGATAGACGAGATTAGGTTAGTTGAAGATGGGGAAGAGGGCCCCCTAGGTGGGACCCCAAAGGGCTTCCTCTGCCTACAGGGTAACCCTTTCAACTTTGCACAAAATCACTGTGTAGGCTACCCACAGTCCTGGCTTATTTATCACGGAGGCCTTTGGGTGCATTCTTCTACCCCTTGTTCCATCCTGGGCTTGCCTGACCTGTGGGGCCCAGACCTTGTCCTCAGGCCTCTCCTTCCTACCACTGCCTTGAGGGCACCTTCTCAGAGCAGGAGTGGGGGAGAGTGGAATCGTTCACTGTCAGAAGCATTTCAGACAGGAAATGAAGAATTTCGTAGGTGGTTAAAAATACAGTGGAGGCTGATTTATGTTTGAATTTTGTTCCAGGACAGAAGATTATAGCCCAAGTTCTAAGGCAAAGGCAGCGGTGTCTTTATGGCCTGCTTGGATCAGTTTTATGTCTTGGTGATTTTTGTATGTTTCAGCTAAGCCAAGATGCTCGAACTTTTTTGTCCTGTACTTCGCTGGGGAACTCATGTACCACTCCTTGCACCCAATCTCATTTTACCCTAAAAACAGAGCCAAAAGAGATGGAAGGGAGGTTTTTGCTTGCTATTTGATTGGTATCTAGTTTTTAGCTAAATTAAATCAAATCATAAATGATGACTCCGGAGGAACCTGGGTAGCTCAGTGGTTGAGCATCTGCCTTTGGCTCAAGTCATGATCCTGGGGTCCTGGGATCGATTCCTGCATCGGGCTCCTGCTTCTCCCTCTGCCTATGTCTTTGCCTCTCTCTGTGTCTCTCATGAATAAATAAATAAATTCTAAAAAAAAAAAAGATGAATCCCCATGAGACCCTGAAGTAGATGTCAAGTGATATTGTGAAAAAGGACAGAGATCTAAATATTTGAATACGCAAATCCGTAATATATTGATATCCATAATATCCATTTGATCAGATACTAATGGTTACTATACTTTTTTTCATAACTGATCACGCTTCCCACATTTTTGTTCATGAGGAAGCTCAGATCTGAACTGAACTTGTTCAGGGATTTTGAGCATAGGTTTCCATGTACCAGCATTTTCCCTGGCTTTATTCTTCTACCCTTGTTTTCCCTTTGCTCTATCACTTTATCTATTTTTATCTCACTGTATTGTGTGCGTCTTGGTAAACCACTTCAAATTCTTTTTTGGAACACAAAGGAGCATAAGTAAGTCAATAAATACACCCTGTGTTTGTAAATATGGCACTTTATTCTTTCTAAAGCAATTTTCACATCCATTAGCTCTGTGGGTCCTCCCACACCCCTTCCTGTAAGGGAAGTTGGGCAGAGGCTCCATCAACCCCATTTTGCAGGCAAGGACGCTGAGGTACATCCATGATGAAGTGGCTTGCAGGAAAGGACAGACCCACCCCTCCATCTATCATAAAGACCACCTGAATACCTTTTGAAGAAAAAGGCAAGAATATGGAACTAACAGCCATCAAGTGACTTTTATTTTATACATGTGGATTGAGAAGGAGGAAACCAAGTTTGGAGTCATCAGCTGGAGAGGACACAAACTGGGGTGACCACTGGCTTCAGAGATCCACCCCCCTCCCCCAGAATCCTTATCGGTACACTATCTCCACTGTCCCCTCCTTTCTGATAACAGACCCACTCCCACTGCTCATGTGGGTGGCATGTGACTCAAGATGGGCAGCCAATCACAGACTTACATGCTCCTGGCCACGTAGTGATTGGTTCAGAGGAGAGGACACATGATCTGAACTGAGCCACTGGAGTTCTTCACTGAGATTTTTAACCTCTAGCTGGGAAATGAAATCCCATCTTACCTCTGAGGTTGTAGAGCTGTTGGGATATGATCCTGGAATTAGCTGTACTCTCTTCCAGAAGAAAAAGCTCATGTGAAGGATGGGAGAA